GGGACGGGGCATCTCTGAGACGGGTGGGTGGGGCCCTCTGTCCGTGACCCACCCTGCCTTGCTGCCTTTCCCTCCTGGTCTAACTCCCTGCTGTCCTTCTTCCTGGTCACCAAGCAGTTAAACACAGTCCAGTCCCAGGTCAGTGAAGGCAACCGCCCGGGAGCAGAGGCCAGCACACCAAGGCCAACAGAACCCAGGGGTGGCAAGAGGCCGGGTTGGTGGCAAAAGCTCTGAGCAGCTGAACTAACCAACCAGTGGCTGCTCCTCCTTCCAGCTCGCAAAGAAAAGCTTTGGCGCATGTGGCTGTGTGAACGTGGTCATCTGTTTGTGGCCAAAGCTCTACCCATACAGCCCTCTCCAAGGACAGGTTCCTTGGGAAGGACAGATGGAGAGCCAGATGTGGCCAAGCCATGTAGTGCACAGTGCTGGTGTGTGAGAGTGTGTGTGTGTGACAGAGAGAGAGATGGAGAGACAGAGAGAGACATTGAGAGAGAGAGAGAGAGAGGTGGTGTGCATTGAGCCCACCAGGTGCCAGCCATGCAGAGCTGCCTTGTGTCAGGTTTGTGAGCTTGCACGTTTCTCACGTCCCACTCGGTCCCTCCATCAGGTCCTGCATTGACAGAACCAAACCAGTGAGCAGGGAGAGCACCAGGCAGAGGGGTCAGGCAGGTGGAGGATGCCCTGTGCCACTGCTGCTGCGCCCGCGGGCTGTGAGCTCCCAGGGGAGAGGGCCTCGCCTGTCTTCTCCGTGGAATCTCGCAGGGACCAGGAGTGTGCCCGGGATCTCGGAGGTGTTCAGTAACTCTTGGCTGAGTGTGTGTGTGTTGGCAGGGCCACAGAATATGAGCAGGGAAGAGGGGGCTTCCACCTGCAGCGCCCCCATAGGGTTGGACAGTGGCACAGCTGAGTGTCTACCCACAAGGCCTTGAAGAGGAGGCCAACGAGAGGGACTGAGATGGCACGGTGGCTTCCGAAGGTCCTTCTGCCTGAGCCCAAGCAGAGGGCCAGGACCCACTGGGACTACACAAGGGTAAGGGTGGGAGACATCTTATTCAGTTTTGTTTGGAGTTGGGGGGTTGAGCTCCCCTGTGTTCGTGGGTGACCCCTGTCAGCCCTGGGTTTTCTGGGGCAGGAGCTCCCCACGAATCCCCTTGATCACATGGTGTTTGGGACCCTGTCTGACCCAGATGCGCCACAGTGGGCTCAGGCGTTGTCTGACCCGCCCCTCTCCTCGGGAGCCCCATCCTGGGCCCCGCCCCCTTCTTGCTCAGTGCAGGGCCTGGGGAAGGTCTCTGGGTGCAAAGCTGAGCAAATAAACACGCCCAGGCCCAGAGGGAATGGACAGGGTGGGCTGGGCTGTGCTATCACCGTGTGGAGGTTTCCCCACACTGTGCCTGAGACCACACGCTGTCCTCAGCCCGCGTAGATTGTGTCTTGAGGGGTAGACATAGCTGTCCACCCCATGCCTGATCTAAAACAGAAAAAAGCACCTGCTACATTACGATTCTTTGCTGGAATCTCCCCGGGGCTTGATTTCATTGGCAACTGGTGCTGAGGACTCTGCCATGGCCCTGCGGGTGAAAACACAGCTCCTGCCATCACTCCCCAGCCACACTGCCGTCTCCCACCTTCATGGGGTTTGCAGAACCCGGAGCAAGGAGGCCTCAGAGTTCCCTGCAGGACCCCGCAGCTGTCTGCGCTCCATCAGGACGGTGTGTGCGGGCCAGGGGGAGAGTTCCCGGGGGCTGTGCCCGCCATGCTGACGGCGACCGCTGGGCGATCGTGGCCCAGCAGCCCCAGGGCTGGCCACCGCAGGGCCTCCCTCTCTGTCTCCCTTCACACTGCGCTGCCCACCTGTCTGTGGTCCAGAAAATACATCTCCACATTGCGTTGCTTGAATTCTTTAACAGGAAATTGTAGGAGTGGGACTGTTTATCCTAGCAGACATGACATTGGAGATCCTGGGTTAGATTCTCAGTTCTGGATCCTCACTAGCCCCTGGCCAGGCAGGAGACCCCGGTTGCAGGAGCGATGGCGCAAATGATAGGGTTCCTGCCACCCATGGGGGAGAGCGGGCTTGGGTTCCTTGATGCTGGCTACAGCCACAGCCCAGCCTCGGTCATGTAGGCGTTTGCAGACACAGCAGTGGATGGGATTTGTGCTTGCTCTCTCTTGCTCTCTCTCTCTCTCTCTCTCTCTCTCTCTGCCTGTACCTCTCAAATTAAAAAGTGTGTTTGTGGAGGTTTAGTGAAGCAGTTAGATATCTCTTGAGGGCCCGGCATTGTGGCACAGCAGGTTAAGCTGCAGCCTGCGGCACCAGCGTCCCACATGGGCACTAGTTCAAGTCCCAGCTGCCTGACTTCTGAACCAGCTCCCTGCTAATGCACCTGGGAAAGCAGCAGAAGATAGTCCAGTTCCCTGGGCCCCTGCCACCCACATAGGAGACCAGATGTGGCTCCAGGCTTCTGGCTTCAGCTCGGTGCAGCCCTGGTATCAGCTCTTTGCATAGTGAACCAGATAATGGAAGGTCTCTCCTCCCCCATGTCTATCAAATAAACAAATATTTTTTGAAACATACAGACCCCTGAGTTTCATATTGCAGTGCACGTGGGTCTCAGTAGGCTCCCAGTTCCAGCTCCCTGCTGATGCGCACTCTGGGAGCAGTGGGTGATGGTTCAAGCCCTTGGGTCCACACGGGAGCCCCAGATTAAGGTGCAGTCTTCAGGTCTCAACCTGTTACAGCCTCAGCTGTTGCAGGCATTTGGGGAGTGAACCAGCGTAGGGGAGACCTTTTTGTCTATTTCTGTCTCCCTGCCTTTCAAATAAATAAACACATTTTAAAAGGGTGTTAAACTGCATACGATTCTCTGGACCATCCTTCCTATTCTCCCTCATCTGTGTTTGTAGGAAGTGTCCACACGTCACTGGGACTCACGCTTGGCTGACCCATCTTCCACCACGAACTACACACATGCATCCATTACATTGGTGGACACCTGAGTGGCTTCTAGGTCCTCACTGTTGAAGATCGAGGATGGCGTCTCTGAGGGCACAGGTGCAAGAGCTGCTCACAGGTACAGACGGGGAAGTGCGACTGGGACACCAGCTGTGAGTTCAACACCAGGAACCACCTCAGTGTTGAAATCAGCTCTCTCCAACCCCACCTGGACTACTAAGCTCCAATCTCTCATTATAATAAGACAAACCCAGGCCTCAGGACTTTGTATTTGCCATCCCTTCTACCTGTAGTGTGTTTCATGTGGACTTCCTTTGGCTGGCATTTTTTAAATATTTTATTTATTTCTTTGTCAGATTTACAGACAGTAAGAGAGGGAGAGAGAAAGGTCTTCCTTCATTTGGTTCACCCCCAAAATGGCCGCCATGGTTGGCGCTGCGCCAATCCAAAGTCAGGAGCCAGGTGCTTCTTCCTGGTCTCCCATGTGGGTGCAGTGGCCCAAACACTTGGGCCACCCTCCACTGTCCTCCGGGGCCACAGCAAAGAGCTGGACTGGAAGAGGAACAGCTGGGACTAGAACCCGGCACCCATATGGGATGCTGGCACCGCAGGAGGAGGATTAACCAAGTGAGCCATGGCGCTGGCCCTGGCTGGCATTTTTTAAACATTTATTTTCAGGCCAGGTTTGTGGCAAGGCAAATTAAGCCACCGACTGAAATCCCAGCATCCAATATTTGAGTGCCAGTACCAGACTGACTGATCAGTTTCCAATCCAGCCGCCTACTAATGTGCTTGGGAATGCAGTAGAAGATGTCCCAAGTGCTTGGGTCCCTGGCCAGGAGACCTGGATGGAATTCTTGGTTCCAGCCATTGTAATGGACCAGCCCTGGCCATGAAGCCATTTTTGGAATGAGCCATCATGGAAGCAGAGAGCTGGGCCTGAAACCAGTACCCATATGCGATGCCGCATTGCTGGCTGCAACTTAAACCACTGCATCACAACAAATAAATCTTTTGAACACTTTTAATTTCAATTTATTGGAAAATCAGAGAGAGAAGGGACTCTCCCTTTGACTGGTTCATTCCCCAAATGGCAGCTACAGCTGGGACTCAGCCAGACCAAAAGCCCAAGCCAGGAACTCAGTAGAGTCTGTGGGTAGCAGGGACCCAAGTCCTCCAGCCGTCCTCTGCTGGCTGCTAAGGTGTGCGTTAGCAGGAAGCTGGATCAGGAGCAGAGTTGGGGCCCACACCCAGGCACTCCCGTTTGGAGCAGGGTTGTTGCAAGTGGCACCTTTACTATGCCAAATACCTGCCCCTCCCATAGCTGGCTTTGCCTCTCCTTTAGGACTCAACCAAATCCTGAACCCCCAGCCCCAAGGGCACTTTCCCTTGCCTCCCCTCTGAATGACCACCCACTCCCACCCGGGCTCCCACGCTTCCTCTGCTCCACAGCCCCGCCCTCGGGGTGCCCACAGCCTTTGCAGATCAGGGTTGATCTGAGGTTGTCTCCCCGCGGCACTCGGCCTGCAGAAGGAGGAGGACGGTGCTGTGTCAGCCACAACACTGGAGCAGGGCCTGCTCTGCGTACAGCAGGTGCTCAACCAGATCTCGTCCTTGAGGTGGACACGAATACCGACCCCGGGATAGAGTTGGAAAACTGAGCTGCAGAAAAGAGAAGCCAGGTGCCAAGGTCTCGGAGCTGGGAGGTGGCACGGGCAGGGTGGGAATCCAGGAAGAGGGGTTCCAATGGCCGTGTTCCTTCCGGAAAGAGGTGGCTTGTCTGACGCCAACTTTCCATCCTGGTCCTGTTATCAATCAGCTACCTGGTGTCACCTGTGGAGCCACCTGGTTCAGAAAACCCTGGGTCTTTCTGTTGGTTCTCACTCCTCCATCTGCAGGGGGTGGGGGGCTGTGACCTTGGACATGGGAGAGACCTGGTGTTCCACCACCTGTGCTGGGAATGGGCCCAGTCCATCCCCCTCTGCCTGCTTGCACTATATTAGAGCCCAGGCTCTCTCTGGCTCCCATAATCTCCAAACTCGCAATGCTCCGGCTGCTGAGCGCCCTCCTGCTGGTGGCCCTTGGTAAGAACCCAGCCCGCGTCTGTGCCCTGCGCTGCCTGGGCCAGGAGCCCTGAGATCTGCTCCCCACCCTGGTCCCGGGGTCCCAGCCCCTGCTCCACAGGAGGGGTCTCAGCTCGTCCCTGGGGCACAGCAGTGGGGGCTTTAGCTTGGTGCTGGGGAGCTGGGGGAGGGGAAGCAGGGGATGGAGCAGCTCAGGAGGACTGGGAGCAGCACCCAGGGCTGGGGCGGGCGTCCCTGGTGGGGGCAGTGATCAAACCTAAGTGGAGAAGAGTCTGGCTCTGTGCTCAGAGTGCGTGGGATAGGATTCCCACTCCTCTGATGAACGGTCCAATTCTCCATCCATCACTCTCCCCCACCCAGCTCCATGGCCTGTGCCCAGCCTTGTCCTGTTCTCTCTGCCTTGTTACACTGCAGCTCAGGGCCACCTCCTCTAGCAGCCTCCCCAGACTGAAAGTCACGGGAACAGATCACATTTATGGAGCACTTTCTAAATGCCAGGCAGAATTCTTAGACATTTGCCTTATATGATATCATGTAATGTTCATCCCAGCTCTGTGAGGTCAGTACTGTTATTGGCCCCATTTTACTGACCAGCAAAATGACTCAAAAAAATTGAAGCAGCTCATCCCAGAACAAGGGACCATGCTGTGTTCTGAACCCAGGAAGTTCTATTTCAAAGCCTCCACTCTGTTAAAAAAATTTATTACTCATGTATTTTATTGCAGAAGTAGAGAGAGACAGACCAACAATGATTCCCCTTCCTCTGGTTCACTCTCCAAATTCCTAAGTGAAACCAGTAGGCAGTAGCCAGTGGGTGGCAGGGACCCGAATCCTTGGGCTCTCACCTCTGCCTGCTGGGTGCCCATGAGCAGGGAGTTGGAACTGGCAACGGAGCCAAAACACAAACCCAGGCCATGGGTGTTCCATGGAGTTCATTACACAGCACCAGGCCAGCCTCCACTCTCACAGCAGCCATCACCTTGGTGAGGCTCGTGGTCACCAGGCTCTGTTAGAGTCACACCCCGTCCTCCCATCGTTTTCATCTCCATCCTGGGGCTCCTGGGGCTCTGGAAGCCCCTGCTCTAGTCCCCGTGCTCGCTGTTCCCAGTGGCTGCTGAGTTCAGAGAGGCACAGTGACTCGCATGGGTCACACAGCCTGTCAGTGGCACAGCCTATTCCCTTGGGGTCCATCTGGCTCAGTGATTGATGCCTGTCCTCTCCTCTCCTCTCCAGCCTCAGCCTCTGGCCAACCTTCCTTCCGCCTGTCCATCCGGGTTGTCAATGGCACCGAGGTAGACCCCCACAGCTGGCCCTGGCAGGTAAGAACAACACGAACTGCACGGACCCCCGCCCTGGGCTCTGGACGCCGAGTCTGACTGCAAGGCCTCCAGTCCTGACCCCAGGGCTCCCTCTCCAGCCCCCACTTCAGCGTCCCAAGGCCGGGAACCCTGGAACAGTCTGCGTCATGTACAGGTCTTCAGGTCCTACCTACAGCCCTCACTGGGCTAAGAATGAAACTCAATCTGGGGCCAGGGAAGGCTTCACTCGGGGGGTGGTGCAGCCTGCAGGGCTGAGGTGCAGAACGGGGGGGTCTGAGAGGCCAGAGGGTCTTGGGGGCTCTTGGGGGACAGAAGGTTTGGGGAAGCCCTAGAGAGCAGAGAACGTTGGAGTCTCCAGGAGATCACAGGGCCTGGGGTGGGGGACTGCAGAGCCACAGTGACCCCAGTGGAGAAGTGACAGGGCCACCAGGAGCAGTGGTGCAGGTCGCACACTGCACATTGCAGAGCCAGCTCCTGTTTCCTGTGTGAATGGCGCCCTCTTGATTGTGCAGGGCACAACCTACAGAGCTCACTCGCTGTGAGTCTGGCCCTCTCAGCGTGTTTCTTTCTGGGTCTGCAGGCCATGGTGCTGTTTGAGGAGGACGGGGCCCTGTACTTCATCTGTGGCGGGACCCTCATCGACCCTGACTGGGTTATGACTGCCGGCCACTGCTTCCCGTGAGTTCCCCTGCTGCCCCCAGCCCTGCCTTGGTCCTCGTCCCTGTGGGAGACCCAGGCACCCTGCACCACTTGCTGGCTATGGGAAGTGGGCGTCAGGCACACACTGACCTCCCCTCCCCTGGCAGCTACACCGGGAACTACTGGGTGCTGCTGGGTGCACACAACATAACTGCCATAGGGGCAAACCAGCAGATCATCCCCGGGGAGAAGATCATCGTGCACCCAGACTATGATGACAACGACGCGTCCAAGGGGTGAGTGAGCTCCCAGCCGGGGCCTGGGCTCCTGTGCTCGTCCCTCCCTGACACCCAGCTGCATCTAGGGGACTCCAGGAACAGCGGAGAGGGTGCGCAGCCCGGGCCCAGCCCCAACACTGAGCAGAGCCTCGGAGACCCTCAGCACAAACCTCCTTCCATGCAGAGGGGGACACCAGGGCCAGGGAGAGGCAGGAAGGCCCCCACCGCTGCTGGGCTCCATGGCTCTGCAGCCCAGAACCCTCAGGCACCACCCCAAGTCCAAGGTTTCCTGTGGTCAGCAGAGGTCCATCCGGCACAGCTGGTTCTTGGCCCTGGGGATGAAGGAGGAGCACTGGGTGGAGAGTCAGGCCCCGGCAGTCACTCCCTGAGTGGCCTGGGCGTCACGGCCCTGCCTGGGCCTCAGTTTCCCCTTGGTCAGAGGGTGACCTGCAGCAGGGCTTCCTGGTGGTGGTGACGGGCGGGGAGGCCCCGCTCAGCCTCACCTGTGTGCTCACCTGTGTGTCCGGGTGGCTCCGCCTTTTCTGTGAGAGGAGCACAGGAGGGGGCGGAACCCTGGGAACCACAGTGCAGGAGGGAGGGGCCACCATGATGGAGACCCCGGCCCGTCCTGGCGGGGCTCCTGGGGCCTAGGGAGACCAGGGAGACCCAGGCGAAATGTCCCGAGTGACAGCAGCAGAGCCGTGGTGCCCAAGGTGTGGTCTGAGGGGCAGCGGCACCAGCATCCCCTGGGACCCTGATAGAATGTCAGACCTCAGGCCTCAGACAGACCATGGACTCAGAAAGCCTCAGGCGGGCCCCGAAATATGTGTGGTTTTAAATTTTTTTACTAATTTATTTACTGAAAATCGGGAGTGGGGGGCGAGAGGGGAAGAGGGTGAAAGAGAAAGATCTTCCATCTATCTACTGGTTCCCTTCCCAAATGCCTGCTACAGCCGTGGCTGGGTTAAGCAAACACAGGAGGCGGGAACTCTATTCGTCTCTCCCACGTGGTCGCTGAAATCCAAGCACCTGACCACCACCTGCTAACCCAGGGTGCACGTGGGCAGGAGGCTGGAATGGAGCCGAGCCTGGATGGGAACCCAGGCACTGTGTGTGGGTGCAGCCGCTTAAGCCCTGTGCCGAGTGCCCGCCCCACACTGTGCTCATGGCCCCCCAGGGCGTCCTGATGCACCTGCAGTGTGAGGGGCACAGGTGGACACAGGACAACTATGAAGGGCAAGGGCTGGCGGGGGCCAGGAGGCCTGGGCTGGGAAGTCTACTCTGCCTTGAGATTGGATCTGGGGACAAAGGAGCCTCAGGACCCCAGAGGTGAACCCCTGGAGCAAATGCCAAGGAGGGACCTGGTCCAACTGGAGCGCCAGGCTCTGCGTGACTCCTCCCTCCCACAGCAATGACATCGCCCTCATCAAGCTGTCACGCAGCGCCGAGGTGACAGAGGAAGTCCAGCCCGCCTGCCTTGCCCCCCGTGACTACATCCTGCCCCACGGGACGCAATGCTACATCACTGGCTGGGGCACCACCTCCAGTACGTGCTGACCGGGACAGGGGCAGAAAGACAGGGTCTGGGTCAAGGCCAGGGCTGTATAGGTGCCCAAATAATGCAGGGCCCTGGAATTGGTGGGAGGACAGTGCCCTTCTGGTCAGGAGAGCAGTGTGCCTCATATGTCCCACCTCTGGGAAAGTAACACTGCCCCCAGCCCCCACTCATTGCTCTCTGTCCCCACAGCTGGAGGGTCAGTCTCAAATGTTCTACTGGAGGGGCTGCTGCCCGTGGTGGACTACGAAAACTGCTCCCAGCCGGACTGGTGGGGCTCCACTGTGAAGGAGATCCATGTGTGTGCCGGCGGTGGCAACGTCGCTGGCTGCAACGTGAGTCAGCCCACACCTGCTCGGGGTGGGCAGGGTCCTGGGGCCCCTCTAAAATCTCTATGGAGGTGGGGGAGAGGTCTATCCTGCTGCTTCCTAGGAGGGTCCAGGCCAGGCAGGAGGTGGAAGAAAGTCAGCGCCGTGCAGAAAACCCTGACCCAGGACCCGGTCCCTGGCTCACCTGACCTGGGGCAGCCACCGTCCCTCATGGTGCTCAGGTGGACCTGGCAGCACAGCAGGGGGCACTGGCCCAGGACCTCCCAAGTCACCCACGCTGTGTTCTGAAGGGACCCTGAGTCCCTGTTTTAGAGGCGCGCGTGAGCATCACATCCATGAGTGACTGCGCCACAGGCAGTGGGAGCCGGCGTCTCCCGGGGCTTCCTCTCTGCAGGTGTGGGGCTGAGGTCAGCTCTATCCCAGCTCATCCCCAGCAGCTCCTGTGGGACAGACCCTGCTCCCGGCTCAGAGGAGCCCCTGAGGCTCAGAGGTCAACACTGAGGGTGTGATTGCAGTCCCCAAGTTCAGAATCCATTCCTGACCTCGGACGTGGCTCAGCCCTGTCCCCTCTGACTGCTGCAGTGTGACTCTGGGGCACCCCTCATCTGCCGCATAGGAAAAGGCGTTTGGAAAGTCTATGGTGTGGCCAGCTTTGTCTCCGCCAATGGCTGTGTCACCCCCCAGAAACCCACGGTGTTCACCCGAGTGTCGGCCTTCATTCCCTGGATTATTGGGGTGAGGATGGGGCAGCAGGGAGGGCTGCAGGGTGGGGGCTATCCTGAGAGGGGCTGGGGCACAGGAAAGAGGGGCAGATCCTGGGAGGGGCTGCAGGGGTCCCAGGAGGGCAGGGGTGGAGGGGCCTTGGGGACATGGCAGAGGGCAGGGGGATGAGCTCTGCCCTGCATGGCCCCAGGAATTCGCAGGCTCTGGGTGGAGTTTGCACCTCCTGACTCAGGAGGGCTTCTCAGGGGTGTGCTCTGGTCAGGTCCTTACTTGTCACAGAGCACAGAGGGCCACGGCGCCCCCTGCTGGGGGAGACGGGAAGTGAGCCATAATGGTGAAGGCTGGGAGAGCCAGGGGAAGCTGAGCCCCTTAGTGTCATCTGGGGACAGCTGGTCAGAGAGGGTCAGTGTTGTCCATGGTGACTGCAGTGAGCACCGTATAGACTGGGTAGATGAGCACCAGGACTGGGCTGGGGCCTTGGTTATGGTTGAATCAGGACCCCACAGGGTGAGTGCTGGGATCACCACTCCCATTAGAGAGGGCAAGTGACTCCCCCAGGGCCACATGGAGAGTGAGTGGGGGCTGGGAGCTACCCCAGTTCCATGGACTCGAGATCCTGTCACCCTCACTCCACTCTTCTGTCTTTTCCCAGACCATTGCAAACAACTAGCACCAAGGCCCGGCTACCCATGCTGACCCCCGTCCTGTGTAAAGAATAAAGAGCTCTCTCAAGTCCCGAGTGGATCTGTGTCCATCAGTGACTTCCCCCTTCCAGGTCCTAAACCTGAGAGCTGATTTGCAGACGAGGCCAGAGCCCCCTCTCCTGGGAGGACCAGGACCGCAGGAGAGAATTTGGAATCCCGGTGGGAGAACAACCCTCTTGTTTGTCCTGGGCTGGGGGTTCTCAGTGTGGAAACTGAGGCAGTTCCAGGAAATTGGGACAAGTAGGTCACCCCAGGACAGAGCCCCCAGAGAGCAGTGGCTTCTCCATGCAGACCTAACACAGTGACCCCTGCGGGAGACTGAGCCTGCGCCCTCTTGCCTTGTGGTAGACTGGAAGGACCGGGGGTTTTCTGCTTTCATTGACTGGGAGGAGAATGAGGCTGTGGTCATTCACTCATTCAGTATCATTCATTCCTTACTTCAGAGGCGGGTTCTGAGAGGGAGGGGCATGTGGATGTTTCTCTAAAGTTGTTGATTATTAATCAGAAGCGAGCAGTCAGGGGCATTCAGTGAACACTGACTGGCTGCCTGGCAATGACAGGCTCAGGGCTGGGTGTCCACGGGGGAGTGGGACTATCCTAGTGAGAGCCCTGGCTGCAGGGCGAGGAGGCACCCACACAGGCACGGGGACGCGGTTTCCGCAAGCAGTCCTGGAGGTCAGAGCGCCCTCTGCTGAGCAGGCGGAAGAAACACACACGGCCCAGTCCCTGCAGCTCCTGTTCCTCCTGAGCTCCCAGAATGAAGAATGAAGCTCCCCAGCAAGGACACGGTCAGTCCCTGTCAGTGTGAGCGTGTTCCCTTCCTCTAACGGGTACACTCTTGCATCCAGTGTTTGGTGAAGCAGGTTACGCCACGGCTTGCAGCACTGAGCTCCCAAATAGGCACCAGTTTGAATCCTGGCTACTCCGCGTCAGATCCATTTCCCTTTTAATGGGCCTGGGAAACAGGGGTAAATGGCACAGGTCCACGGCCCTGTCAGCCATGTGAGAGACCAGTGTGGAGTGCGAGTCTCCTGGCTTCTGCGCTGGACAGCCCTGGCTGTTGTGGTCTTATGGGGAGGCACTAATGGATGGAATATCTTCTCTCTCTCTCTCTCTCTCTCTCTCTCTCTCTCCTCTTTCCCCTCCTCTGTCACTGTTTTGCAAATCAATAAATTAATCTTTGACAAGAACAACTGTCTATCCCTCTGTAGCTGTATCTATATCTATCTATATGTGTTTATATACTATTTTCAGAGGAGCTGGTGTTTGATCTGGTGAGTAATACACCCGTGTCCTACACTGTAGTTAGTGCCTGGGTTCCGCATCATGGGGAGAACGTGTGGGGCTTCTGGAACCACAAGACACTGGTCTCTCCGACCGAGGCAGACACACAGGACTGGTGACCAGTAACCGGCAAGCGTGGCCAACCAGAGCAGGGCTGTGTAGGCTCAGGGTCCCCTTCCTCCTGAGGGTCGGAGAAGGGCCCTTGGAGGATTTTCCAAAACAGCTTCAGGATGAAGGGCAGGGAGCTGTGGTGGGCAGGGGCGGGCCCTGCAGGGGACCTGGGTGCAGCCTCAGGGGAGGGCGGGGAACTGCTGTGACCCCTTCTCACCACACATGGGCAGCAGAAAGTCAGGAAACCATGGCCAAAAACTACCAAGGATTTGACAAACACTTCACTTTTCCTTTTAGAAATTCTTCAAGGGGCTGGCATTGTTGCATAACAGGTAAAGCCGCTGCCTGCGATGCCTGCATCCTGTATGGGCGCCGGTTCAAGTCCTGGCTGCTCCACTTCCGATCCAGCTCCCAGGAAGCTGGATAGGAAGCAGCAGAAGATGGCCCAGGTCCTTAGTACCTTGCACACACGTGGGAGACCTGGATGAAGCTCCTGGCCCCTAGCTTCCATGTGGCCTGGACCTAGCCACATGGAAGTGAACCAGCAGATAAAAGATTTCTCACTTTCTTTTTCCTCCCTCTTTCTGTAAGTCTCTCAAATAAATAAAATAATTTCAATAAAAAAATCTTCAAGTCTCATGAATTCAAATCTTTTAAATAACATCTAGTTAATAACTTAGTTTTCTGGGTACGGCATTTGGGCACAGTGACTTAAGCCACCTGCTGTGGATCAAGTATCCATTGTTCAAGGTCTCCACTCAGCAGCTGCAGACTCGCTAGGAAAACCAAGCCGGATCTTGTTCTCTGGTTGAAAACACTACCAGGGCTCCCTGTGGGCCTGGGCGCCTGCCCTTCAGGGTTCTCTGCCCCGTCTCTGCCCCACCTCCACAGAAGCCCCAGCCCTAGGAGTGCCCCTCACTGTGTTGTGCTTGGGCTGGAGCAGGTTGGATTTCCAGGTGCCCAGATCAGCAGGTGTGGGGGGCGGTGAAAGAGGAAGAGGTGAGCCAGAGCGGAGCCGCAGGCCCAGCTTGGGGTTGGGATTGAAGGGGAACAAACTTCTCTCTACGGATGCACTGTGATTGGGTGTCTGCGACCTCAGCCACACCTGTGTCATCAGGACCGGGAGGGAACAGATGTCAGCCTGGAGGGGAACTGGGGAATATCTGATAAAATGGGGGCACAGCTGGAGAAACACACAGGGGATGGGGACCTCTGGGTCCAGCAGCAGCAGAGCTGAGGCCGCCCTCGGCCTGGAGGGACCTCGGAGGAAGCAGTCACGGGAGCCCTGGGGAAGGGCGCTGGGTAGCAGTGAGGCCTGTGGGGGAGGATGCACCTGCTGCACACCTGGGGCCTGCAGGGAGGCAGCTGGGGAACAGGGACCCCGTGAGTGATACCCACTGAACTCTGGTTTCTTAAAGGATCTGAGAAGTCCTGCGGGCAGGAACGATTTGACCTTTGTTGACCTTGTGTTTCCCTCTCCCTTCTGACCATTGGTTGTATATTGGGTCTCCCTGGGTCTTCTTCTGAGCGCGAGGCCCCAGCATGAACAGAGCAGATAGAAACCTGCTCAGTGGGCTACCCCCAGGGGGGCATTCATCCCGGGACGCCCTCTCCTGGGGAACCCAGCTATCCTGGCCCCACCCCAGGCAGTGCCGCTTATCACCATGAAATAGTATCCACCCAGGCCAGCACCATGGCTCAGTAGGATAATCCTCCGCCTTGCGGCACCAGCACACCGGGTTCTAGTCCCGGTCGGGGCGCCGGATTCTGTCCCAGTTGCCCCTCTTCCAGGCCAGCTCTCTGCTGTGTCTCGGGAGTGCAGTGGAGGATGGCCCAGGGCCCTGCACCCGCATGGGAGACCAGAGGAGGCACCAGGCTCCTGGCTTTGGATTAGCACAGCACGCTGGCCGCTGCAGCCATTGGAGGGTGAACCAATGGCAAAAAGGAAGACCTTTCTCTCTGTCTCTCTCTCTCTCTCTCACTGTCCACTCTGCCTGTCAAAAAAAAAAAAATAAAAAACAAAATAGTATCCACCCACGTAGTCAACCAGTTGTAGTCCAGATTCAATCATGACAACACAGTGAAACACAATCTCTCCTAAACAATCTGAATTTATTTAATTTTTTAATTCATTTTTTATTTAAGAGTTAGAGTTACAGACAGTGAGAGGGAGAGACAGAGAAAAAGGTCTTCCTTCCGTTGGTTCACTCCCCAAATGGCCGCAACAGCCAGAGCTGCACTAATCTGAAGCCAGGAGCTTCTGAATCCCACATGTTGGGTGCAGGGGCCCAGACACTTGGGCCATCTCCACTGCCTTCCCAGGCCACCACAGAGAGCTAGATTGAAGAGGAGCAGCCGGAACTAGAACCGGTGCCCATATGGGATGCTGGCGCCGCAGGCAGAGGATTAACCAAGTAGGCTACAACACTAGCCCGAGGGCCGGCCTTGAATTTAATTTATAGAGTCCAATCTAGACAGAAATCAGCCTGGAAGCACAATTTTAGAAGGGGGAGAGGTTTTAGATCTTTGTATAAACACAACAGGAACTCATCCCAAAGAGTTATTATTGTTCTCAATTGAGAATCTCATCTGTTGGGAGTTCCATGGATCCAACTGGAAGTCCCAAGGTCCAAGACTCAATTTAGAACTGTATCAGATGACCAACACAGAACATTAGCCTACTTAACCTATTCCTTTGATTTACTCAGAGTTAAAATAGTCATTTTGTAGGGCAACTCCCTGAAGGTTCCATTCTCTCTCTCTCTCTCTCTCTCTCTCTCTCTCTCTCTCTCTCTCTCTCTGAATTGAATCCTTTTATCTCAAGAAGGAGGAACCAGGGAAGAGGAAGGGGCTGTTCTGCCAGCCTGGCCTCAGCGCAGGTTAAGGCTGAGGTCTGCGTGATGAGGGAAGTGTTCTAATGGGTCCCAAATGACCTGAGAGCCTAACCCGCCTTACGAGTCCCACAGCTGCAGGAGGCGCTTCCTGGCAGGCTGGGACTCCACAGTGGGTCACCTTGTGGAATGAAAGGATGCGGAGACCAGGGTGCACCCCACAAGTCTCCACCTCTGCTTGGCTTGGCACACTTCAAGCCCTCAGGCTGGGTCGTCACCTGCTCACAGTTTACCAAGTGTGTTCACAACACAAGACTTCTTTGTCTCTTCCCCAGCTCCTCACCTCTGCCTAGAATGAGAGATGCTGAGACAAGGGTGCGGGTGAACCCAGTGCACAGTGTGGGATGTACCCAAACGTCCCTGCTGCCACTCCACATCTAAGTCCCAGATGGCACCTCTGCTTGCACAAATCAGGTTAGTAAAATGAAGGCATCCATGGGGAGTGGTCTGAGATAGCAACATATCATGACGTTAAGTAGAGAAAGAGGCTGGGTGGATTACCCAGTCAAGGCTAGGCCTCCCCGTGCCTCAGAGACTCCCTCCCCACCACGGGCCTTGTGTCTCCTGCTTGCCCCTCTCGCCCAGACCTGTGGGTGGCTCGCAGCCCTCAGGTGTTGCCGCTGCCCTGGGCCATCCTGCTGTCACCGCACCTGCTCCTCTGCTCCCTTCTGGTGCGTGAG